GAATTTATTATGTTCATTCTTTTTATATGAAAAGCAAAGAATGAAAAAGATTTTCTTTTAACTGAAAAGTAAAAAGTGACTCGACTCAAATGATCTACTTAATGGTCTGTCCCTTTGGAAGCAGGGACCAGGTCCTGGTCACCTTGGTATCCCCATAGTGAGTGCTCAGCAAAGGACTGTGGGTTGAATAAAGCCTCACTGTCCTTTCGCACAGGAACAGGCACTCGCTGGCCACCAGGAAAGATAACAGGCACTCTGATAGGACACGCCCCCAAGCACCCAGAGCATCCCTGGCAGTCACGGGCCGTGCAGGTGAATGTTACCTAACCCAGAAAGAAATCCCAGAGCCTCCATCACCACTAAGTCAAGCAAGTGGAATCCCAGTGGTAGCAGCACTGTTTTCATTATCATGATTTTTTTTTTTTTTTTTTTTTTTTGCGGTACGCGGGCCTCTCACTGTTGTGGCCTCTCCCGTTGCGGAGCACAGGCTCCGGACGCGCAGGCTCAGCGGCCATGGCTCACGGGCCCAGCCGCTCTGTGGCAATGTGGGATCTTCCCGGACCGGGGCACGAACCCGTGTCCCCTGCATCGACAGGCGGACTCTCAACCACTGCGCCACCAGGGAAGCCCTATCATGATTTTTAATACCTCTCTTCTTTCCTTTCGCTTGATGTTTATACCGGCCATTTTTCCTCTTGCATCATCTTAGTTTAATTATCTAAATGACCATTAGATGTAAACAGTTCTGTCCCTCATGTCCAAAGAAGAGGGAGAAGGGAAGAGACCAAAAAATCCAGTCCTTGGGCTTCCCGAGGCAGTGTACTTATAATTCAGAAAATACTTTTGCTCAAGAGTTTAAATGTTTGAGTTATTATTTCATCAAAAAGAATCTTTTTATTTAAATTACATCATCGTGTAGTTAACCATTGTAGTCTCTTTGGTGGTTCTTTTTTTTTTTTTTTTTTTTTTGGCTGTGTTGGGTCTTAGTTGCGGTATGCAGTATCTTCATTGAGGCATGCGGGATCTTTCGTTGCGGTGCATGGGCTCTTCCTTGCAGCGCTCGGGCTTCTCTCTAGTTGTGGTGTGCGGGTTTTCTCTCTCTAGTTGCGGCACACAGGCTCCAGGGCTCGTGGGCTCTGTAGTGTGGCACACGGGCGTAGTTGCCCCGCAGCATATGGGATCTTAGTTCCCTGACCAGGGATCGAACCCGCATCCCCTGCATTGGAAGGGGGATTCTTTACCACTGGACCACCAGGGAAGTCCCTTTTTTGGTTGTTCTTAAATTTTTAGAACAAGATGATGGGTGTTCGGCCATATTGGTGGAGGAAAGAAATGTATAGAAGGGATTCCCTTTCAGATCATGAACTGAAGGAACAGTGAGTTCAAATGCTTATTTCTTTTCTGAATTACAACAAATCTGAATGATTTATCCAGTAGGAAAAAGCAGTAGATTTAGGGAGAAGTCAGAAAAGAAATTATTTCACAAACACAACAAAATTAACTACAACGATATTTTGGTTAAGTGGTAAGTATGATACTATCACTTTATGAAACAGATTTTTAGGTAATTTTTCTACTCATTCTGAGTGTTTTACTACTGAATGACAAGTTTTAGGTGTATGAATATTTTCTCTTTGCTGGTGTTAATGAATGTTTATAAAGGCTATTCCTATAATTCGTCGTTTCTCCAAAATAAGCTTAACCCGAAATCAAAGATTTGGAAGATTCATTGTAGGTAAAATTAGGCGCATGAAGGGCAAAAGCCCATGCTTTTCAGCCTTTGTAAAAGAATCCATTAATGCAGCATGACAAGTAAGTACGATTTAGTGGCCTCTCATTATTTCAAGCAGGAGGCCTTCTTCAAGGGCACACAAATAAGTCAACATAGATCACCACTGACCCCAGGCGTGGGCCCAGAGGTCAACTGCCAAGGGCTGTCCGAATTCTTCTTTCCTGCAGTGCTCTGCTGACTCTTGTCTGGGGGCTCCAATCCTTTGGTAACAGAGTGTTTTTTATTGGGAGAGAATCTGATGCGAATGTGTAAGGTCTTGTTAACATAAGTCCATACTGTGTCTGCTCAGCAGGACTTTTATTTTAAACATAGATGGACTGGAGGTGGCTTTGTCTCCAGGGCTGGGAGTCCCCCAGCTCTGCACACTCCACATTGCTTCCTGGTCAGTTGTTGCTCATCCCGAATAAGTAGGGATTCTTGAAACTGACGATTGCATCATTGGAAAGGAGCATGGGAGTCTTCTGATTGACCTCATTTTTCTCCCATTTGAGAGAAGTAAGTTGAAAATAGAGGAAAGACATTTCATACTTCCTGGCATTTAATATTTTGGCTACTTAGAAAAGCTCCCCGTTTTGTGACAGTATCAGAATGACCCAAAGATGCATGCGCTGAGTCACTGCAGCCTGTGGTTCAGCTCCAGGAAGCGTGCGAATCACACTGCCTTTGTCGGTCTTGGTCTTGCACCAGCTAAAAGTGAATGGTGGAAAGCTGAATTTTCATGTCTGTTAAAAAAGCTTGTAAACAAGCAGGCAGTGCAATTGTGTTATCCACAATAGAAGCTTCCATTATAACTTTGCTCAGATGAACCCAAACGCACTGCCTTCAGGGTTCTTCCTGGGTTTTCTCACCTCATGTGGATTTAGATATGACCTGCCTCATACTGAATTCTGCCCTGGAGTGAATAGTGTTGCAGCCTCAGAAGCAGCAGCAGTCAAGTCCGGGTAGCATCCTCACCCAGATCCCTTCGACCTAGAGAGTTATTTTAAATTAGAGACAGAGCAGCTTCACTGTGGCTAAATGCGGTCGCTCGTTCCTTAAACTATAAAACGCTGGTTCCTTTTTCCAAATCCATATCCCCACACAGATTATAAAGGCATCTTAAAATGCTCATGTCAGAACGCAGTTAGGTAGGAAAATTGTTGTAGAGTAACTGGTATGAGTTTTGTAGCCCAGGAAACTGGAAAAAATATGAACAGTTCCCACCGATGTCCTTTGTGTTTGATGTTTCAGGGCTAAAACATTAAGCGTGGGTTTCTTTCTGGGGTCTCCTAGGAGCAGCGACTGTAGTAACCAGAGAAAAATGTTACCCCCCTGCTAGGAACAGAAACCTCAGGAGGAGAAGTAGCCATCCACATACCTAAAGTTTTAAAGTACAGGAAATCCCCACCTACAAGCAGGTTGTGCGCCAGAACTTTATTTGTAGTTCATTGCTCGAAACCCAGAGCACAGAAAATCCTGAAGACATGCTATCAGTGGTGCCTGTATTCCAGGCAGGCCTCAGGAGCCTTTTTAGCCCATAATATACTAAAGGGCAATCCTGTGCAATCAGCAAGACAGGAGCTGGCCACCGTGTACCACAGTGTTTATGTGTCTGGCCACGTGGACCCACCTCGCTCACACTCTCATAGCCCAGGTGGTTATGAGGCCGCAGGTGCACGTGTTTCCTCCTCGACCTGAGCTCGGGCCGGGAAGAAGTAGCAGCACTTGGTCAGGGGTGAAAGGGCTTTCTTCTCCCCTTCCTCCCCAGCACCTCACCCCCTTCCCCAGGAGCTCCCTTTCCCGGGGCTAAAGGGAGTGGGGGGAGGCATCCTAGGCCATATTGACTAAGCCGGGGCTTCTCAGATGGAGACGTGCACACAGATCTCCTGGGGATGTGCTGAAATTGTAGATTCTGATTCAGTGGGCCGCAGGTGGGCCCTGAGATCCTGAGTTTCCCACAAGCTCCTGGGTGATACCGATGCCCCTGGTCCACAGACCCCAGTCTGAGTCGTGAGAGTCTGTCAGCATCATAGGGGGGAAGAGTGGGCGTCAGAGAAACCCTGTCCCTACAAAAAAGGACCTTGAGAGTGAGAGACCGGAGATCTGTGACAGAGGCCTTATCTGGGTTCCTTTGGTGTTGAGAACTTCCAGGCTGGTGAGAAGAAGTGGGAATACTAAAATCGATAAAGAGCAGCTCATCCAAAATCCTCACACTCCGGCTTCTAGACCCGTGCTTAGTGTGTCAGCATCACCAGGGGAAACCGGCCAGCTTCCCCAGATCGTCACCGGGGGTCTCTGGTGCAGGTGGACAAAGCGCTTTTTGCAAAACTGATCTAGACGCAGTGCAGCAAAGCAGTGAGAAGCACAGGCCCGGTTTTAATTCTGTCTCCACCACCGACCAGCTGTGTATCGTTGAGCCCATGCCTTTGTGCCTAAATGTCCTCTGTCCTCATCAGTAAAGTGAGGCTAAAATGAGTGCCTACCGCTAAGGGTGATGGGGAACTCAGGTTATTATCTGTGTAAAATCCTGAGTATAGAGTGCCCAAACGGTGGTGGAGGCAGCAGTGGTGGTGGTGGTTATATGAGTAGTCTGAGATTACAAATGTGGAGTCCAATTGCCCATTTTGCTGTTTATTACCTGTGTGGCCTTGGGCAAATGACTTAACACCTCTAAACCTCCATTTCCTTCCTTGTAACGTGGAAACGATAAAAGTATCTACCTCATTGAGTTTGGGGGACGATGCAAAAAAAAGCATTTACACAGTGCCTAGCACATGGTAGGTTCTCAATAAACAACAGTTACTGCTAGTAAAGTAGGCCAGCTATCTGGAGAACAGGAGTTTTCAAACTGTGCTCCAAGAGTTGAAGATTTTACCGAAATGTGTCTTGGGGGTTATTCATTATTCATTCCTTCCACACCCATTGTCCCCTTCAGCCAGAGGGGCTTATCTTTGTTGGGCTTCAGCATTAAGATTTGACTTAGTAAAAAGAGTTTGAAAATCACTGTTTTGGAGCTATGGTATGCTGTGGGACCATGGAGGGATTTCATTTCCTTAAACAAAGATTGGAATAGCAGATGGTGAATTTAAAAATATACATGTATATATAACCCAAAGTTACATGAGGCTGAATTGAATTATATAGTTAGTTTATGTCGTTAGATGTACAGTGTCCGGCGTGATCCCCTTGCAGCACTGGCTAATATATAATCTTTTGTTCTCTCCCCCAGATGAGCACCATGCCAGGACTGCCGACTCGGCCCTGCTTCTATGACATCGATCTTGATACGGAAACAGAGCAAGTTAAAGGCTTGTTCTAAGTGAACAGGACTTTCACAGGACTCAATTCAGGTAGGCTATTGTGCTTTTTACTTTTTCTTTCTTTCTTTTTTCCCTAGTTCAAATCTCTTTTAGTTTTATTTTGTTTGGGTTTTCTGATATTTATTACAGAAATGGTCTGATAAGTAATTTCCTCACTTGGTTACTGTGAATTCCTACCAGGTTACAGCCATGCCCTGGGTCACTCCTGGGTGTGGATATGCAGTGAGATGGTCAGGTCCTTGGTGTGCCTGGACCCGATTCCAGTGAAAGTCAGTCACACCGTCTCTGAATATAGATTTGTTTTCAGGCATCTCTTGCTATAACAAAGGAGCCCTGTAAATTCATTATTCTTTTTCGAGAATTAAAACTAATGTCTTCTGTCATTAACTATACCAACTATACCTTCATCCCACGTATCTCTTGGTACAGAGTTAGAATCATGTGATAGAGGGCTCCAGTATGCTCATTTCCTGGGGCTGCCATAACAGTGTCACAACTGGGCAGCTTAAACAACAGACATTTGTTCTCCCACAGTTCTGGAGGCCAGAAGTCCAAAGTCAAGGTGTCATCCGGGCTATGCACTCTCTGAGATTCTGGCAGAATCCCTCCTGGCCTCTTCCTAACTCCTGGTGGTGCCCATTGATCCTTGACATTCCTCTGTCTCCCTGTGTGTCTCTGTCTTCCTTAAAGGACACCAGTTGCATTGAATTGCGGCCCACCTTATTGACCTCTTCTTAACTTGATTATATCTGCAAAGACCCTATTTCCAGTTAAGGTCACTCTCAGAGGTACTAGGGGTCAGGACTTCAACATACCTTTTGGGGACACAATCTAACCCATAACACTGTCGCACAACAGGGGGATTGGGCTCTCATACCACTGAAAAGATTCATAGAGATGGGACAGATCGTCTAACTCCAAGGGTCCTGTGAGTCACAGGAAGGACAGGGCAGCAGAAATTAGAGCCCTTGATTCAGGGTCTGCGCAGTGTAAGAGGGTTGGGCTTGTCTTGGCGCTGGCTTAGGCGGCCCACAGCGGGGGGCCTTTGGTCTCATTCACGTCTGTGCCTCGGTCCTGCAGCCACAGGCACACCTGCTGGCTTCTGTCCCAGCTTCCCATCACGAAGAAAAAGGACTCCCCCCCGCCCCCCCGCAACCCTCCTCCCTGGGAAACTCCCTATCAGAAGTCTCAGAGACTTGGAGCTGCTTTTTCCCCATCCCATATATCAGACAATTCCTCACCATATTCTCAAGACGCATTCCTTCCCCATAAACGCCCCCATTCCTTCTTCCTACTGCCTCCTGCTCCGGTTCCTTAGCCCAGCACCCGTCCCTCTTGCCAGTACATTCTGGACCTTCCAGATGAGCTTGCTTCAACTAAAGACCCTCCTTTCCAGTTGTCCCTGAGTTACGCCCTAAGCCAAGCATACAGGACTCCTGCATTTGTTTGTCTGACTATCAGTAGTGAACATGGGGAGATTTTTTTTTTTTTTTTTGCAAGTCTTTGTTACTAAAACACTGAAGACTTAGGCTCTGATGAGGAAGGTAAGAGACACATTAATACAAGTTGTGGGATTGTTCGGTTTGCGTTGTGTGTGTGCTGTTTGGTGGTGTTTGTATGCGTTTTTTGCTGACGAGTGGGAGCTGTATTTAGTTGTTTTTTTTTTTTTTTTGTATTTAGTTTTAACCACAATCACATTTCAAATCTTTTGTCATGTCTGAAAAGGAAAACTCCAGAAAATGAACTAATGGAGACTAACTTAACAGGGAAGCCCATAAACTTGACCTTTGATAACAGAGTTATTTTGGTCTTTTGATAATGACTGTGCATGTGCGTGTGTGTGTGAATGTCTTGGGTTTCCCAGCCAGGCCTTGGGAAAATCACAATATCATTCCTCTTAAACTTTGAGTTGACCCCTGTCCAGACTAATTTCCCTTGTCATGTCAACCCATTATGCTACATTTCTGCCACTTGTCATTTTTCTCCAGAACAAGTGTGTGTAATTCTGTCATCTCTCTCAGATAGATGAGTATTTTTCCAGCCTTTTGGTCCATTTTTATTTGCTCTCCAAATAGGTCATATAAATGCGTTTATGCCTTAATTATTGCAGTTGGGGCTCAGGTAATGCCAGGTGGCGTGTCCTTAGCTTTACCAGTACCTACATCTAAGTCCCTGTGTTCAAGCTCTCTGACAAGTATCCCTCTGGACTTTGTTCAGAGGCTGAGCAGGGGGGCCTCCAGCGGTTGAGACTGCACACTTCCACTGCAGGGGGCATGCGTCCGATCCCTGGTTGGGGAACTAAGGTCCCGCATGTTGCTGGGTGCGGCCAAAAAAAAAAGAATTAAAAACAAAAAACAAAGACTGAGCAGGGGTTGGGGGTCAAGACACTTGGCTTTGGGGATTCCCTCTAAGCACCTCCTGTGGGCCGTCACTGCACCCCTTGCAGGCAGGTGTTGTCCTGTCCCCTGTGGTCACAAGAGGGGGTAGCTGAGGGATGGCCCTGATCCACCAGATAGCAGAGGAATAATACTGCCTTTCCACTACTCAGCCCTGCCTCTCGTTCCATAGCTGTAGCAGGAAATGCTTTGCCATCCACGGTCACATGTCATGCTGGCCTCAAATTTCAGAACTGCGGAAACTCTGGCCCAAAGACATCAACAACTTGCCTGAGTTGCACAGCTGATAAGTACAAAAGCCAAGACTCAACCCAGATCTGCTTACTCTCGGTCTCACCCCATCCTTTCTTTCCTAAACCAAAAGATTTTCACGGGGTAAATGAACTTTGGCCCATTCTGGAAGATGATAACCAGCTCTTTGAACAGACCCATAATTTGGGGATAACCAGGTGATTTTTTTTAATAACAAAAGATAATTGAGTATTAAAAGCTATGACTTTGTCAAAATTCTTTTCAGTCAGACTATACTAGAGCTATCTCTTACTTAAGTCTCTCATTGAATGTCATTTTCCCACTCAATTATCCAGGGTTCTTTCTTCTGTGTGAATCGCCAAACCTTGTTCTAGGCTTGGTAGGCAGTGTTTCAAAACCCCATCACTTGACCCTGCTTGAATAATCGCAGACCATCTAGTGCTGTAAGAGAAAACCACTGTCCAAAGCAAACATTCCCTCTCGGGTATCCTTCAGAATAATGATCCCGCAGACATTCTTCCTGCTTCCTGTCCCCTCTCACATACGGCAGGCAGGGACCACTCCTACTAACAGTCACAGGTCTGTGGCTATTAAAAATGCACAAAATACAAATGTTAAAGCTTGGATGATAGCTCAGACAGATTTGAGCATCAGGAGAGGAAATGTCCGGTGGGCTGCTTGGCACACATCGTGGTCAGGCTCCAGCTCTTTCTCTGGGCTCAGCTGCAGGGCATCACCCTCCTTACTCCTTGCAGAATGTGTTGCAGACGTGACGTGTCGCACATGGAAGAAGCCACTCGGTTGCGGGCTGCTGTCTTTCCTTCTACTTCCTCACCTTCCCTGCTTATCTCACCCTCTAGGAAACGGTATGAGCGGGAGGTGCCAGGGGATCACCAGAATTTGAGCTCTTGCTGCTTTTTTCCAAAGCTTCCCTGTCGTGCTTTTGCTATTGTTAGACTAAGGGCATGATTCATTCTTTTGGATGTTACCAAACAGAACTAATTAAAATGAGTTGTTTGTCCCAGTGAAACTGATCCTGTGACATTACTGGTCAGTCTTTTGTTTGAAGATAATTGGATTTGGAGGTTTCTTCCCCCCCCCCCCCACTTTGGGTTTCTCATTTTGAAGCTTCATCGTATTTCTGGGCCTTGGCAGGATTCAAATGAACTCAAGAAAGCCTGGCAGATTTCCTGAAGGATTCAGACACTCCCTTACTTTGTTCTGATGTGCAAAGTTGTGGTTAGTACGGAATCAAATTGACTCTGGCCCTGCTATAATAGTTTTTCTTGAATTGCACACGCAAAAAGGAGTATAATACCAGCTCATTTCTTCCCTAAACTTCCTTTCGAGCCGAAATTTTCAGTGATATTTAATAATTATAAATTAACCTCCAGACGCTGCTTGTGGACAGAGCCTCTTATCCCCAGGTTGTAAACCACAGAGTTTCAGGGTTTCCTGGGGGAGCTCCAGGGCTCTCTGATTTTAATTTTGAAACTCTGTCTTTTCAAGAAGCAGCTCAAAAATTGTTCATAACCGTTGTGCTTCAAGAAAAAGTCCTCAGTTCCTCACCCCAAGCTGTCCTTGGGACAGAGGGAGCCCCCCTTTTCCCACTCCCAGGCAGGAACCAAAATAGGCTGGAAGCCCAAGCTACTTAAATAAACGATTGTGATAATTAAATCTAAAATGGAATCTTTAACATCTCTAAAAGATGGTGATAATTAAATCTCCGTTATCTAACTAAAATGGAATGTTTTGAGGCTTAACAGTTGTGAAATTCTTAATTAATTCCCTTTTAAAAGAAACTTCCCAAGAGGCAGTGGATCTAATCATCTTATACTTTTTTTTTTAAATAAAGCAAGAAAAATAATATTTCATCAAACTCTGGAAAAATATGAATTTTCTAATAACTCTAAATTTACACATGGTTAATATAATATATAAGAAATTATAGGTCAATGAGAAAAGCTTGGATGCGCTTTTGGAAAAGCCTGGAGAAAAGCTTCAGTTATGTCATTAGTTATAATCTACCAGTTGGTTTGAAAAAATTAGAACTTGCAAGGTAAGGTGAAAGTTTTAACCAAATGCTATGAACTTGAAATTTTCTCCATTTTGCAGAAGCCATTTTTTATCAGACATTCAAACGGGTTAATAAGCACCCAGTGACTATCATACAGCTTCACTAATAAGAGAAATAAATAGACTTACTTCTCCTCAATTCAAAAGCAAATCTCAAAAAAAAAAATTCTTGATATAAATGATTCTAAATTATTCACTTTTCAGGTTTTAAAAAAATTGTCAAAATATGTCGCCATCAACTTTACAAATACTACTGAGGTTGACTTCGTTTTTACTTTAAAGTCGCTTTCAGGGGCTTCCCTGGTGGCACAGTGGTTAAGAATCCGCCTGCCAATGCAGGGGGCATGGGTTCGAGCTCTGGTCCGGGACGATCCCACATGCCACGGAGTAACAAAGCCCGCGAGCCACAACCACTGAAGCCGACACGCCTAGAGCCCATGCTCTGCCACAAGAGAAGCCACCGCAATGAAAAGCCCGTGCACCGCAATGAAGAGAGTAGCACCCGCTCGCCGCAACTAGAGGAAGCCCACGCACAGCAGTGAACACCCAACGCAGCCAAAAATAAATAAATAAAATAAATAAATTTATAATAAAGTCACTTTGGTAGCGTATTTAACTTTAACCTCTGTTATTCAACAGTGGGAACCAAAACAAGATGGTTGTCAGCACAGGGAAGCCAAGAACCAAGTGCCATTACCAATAATTAACATAAGGGTAAATACAATGAAATTGTCTTAGTTTAATAAATAGGAGAGAACTCCCCTTATGGGGGTGTGTGTGTGTGTGTGTGTGTGTGTGTGTGTGTGTGTGTGTGTGTTTTATCCCCATGGCTGCTATAACAAATCACTTGGTGGTTTAAAATACCAGAAATTGATTCTTTCACAGTTCTAGAGGCTAGAAGTCTGAAATCAGTATTAGCAGGCTGAAATCAAGGTGCCAGCAGGCCACACTCCCTCCAGAAGCTCCAGGGGAGACTCCTTTCCTTGCCTTCTCCAGATTCTAGCTGCTGCCAGCAGCCCTTGACTTGTGGCCACGTCACTCCAGTCTCTGCCTCTGGTCATTCACATTGCCTGGGCACTTTGTAATTTCTTATTATTCACATACCATGATTGGATGTCTTATATATTCTATCTTCCAAAAGATTTAACACTAAATCAAATTTAAAAAAATTTTTCCCCACTGAATAAACAGTGAACAACTGATTCATTTGCACCTTCGCTATTGTGTTTCTGATTTTTTTTTTAATTTATATTCAGACTTTCTATACCTTTACCAACCCTTTGAGTTTTCTGAAAATATGGAACCACAGACTCTAAGCCTCTTTAACTATAAAAACTGTTGATACCGAGGTCATGTGGTCAATCCACGGGTCTTCCACCGAGCCCAGCCTCGTCTCTCCCACCTTCCCTCCCCAGTAGTCACTGTACCTCGTATCTAGGGTCACCAGAGCCACCGACAGGAGGCTGGCGCGTCACTGAGAGGAGGGGCAAGGTCTGCACCAGGCAGACCTCCCTTCCTAACGTCAAAGATATTTTCTTTTTGTTAATGTTTACTATGCTTGCGATGCTTCTGTTTTCTGTTTACTTCCCTGATTTGAACCAGACATCAGGGGAGTATTTGAAACTCCTAGTCCCCTGCCTTTGTCACCGTCTTCTGTTCTGAAGCTAATAAAGCATCCCTTCTGGCTCCAGACCCTGCTCTCATCCGTGGGAGGCCGGCTCGCTGTATTCCAGCCGAGTTTGAACTCTTGGCCAAGGAGATAAATTCCTCCTTGTATAAATTCAGATCAAAGGCCAAGTGCTTGTATTTTACATTTCTCCTGATGATTTTTTTTTTTTTTTGGTACTTAGGTGTTTTGTTTGCTTTTTTCTTTTTAAAATGTAGCTTGATCACTTCTTTTTCTAAAGAGATTGCAGAATTCACAGTGACAGAGAGTCTTAGTACCCTTTGCGGGAAAACAACAAAGCTTAAACAATAATAAGAAATTCCAGATTCACTCACTTCCATTCTTGTCCTAAATGCATTTTTCAGACCTTGCTCTCTCTGCCTGCTATAAAAGAGAAACTGAAATCCAAGGCAACAGGCTTGCTAATCTAAAATCCTGGATGTTCTCACTTAACAGGATCCTGGAAACTTGTAGATTCCAAATTTAGAAGTCATGGAATTTCAGCCACGGTCCCCAAGCAAAATCTTTTAGGAAATTCAGAACTGCTGCCTGCTGTGTCCATGCTGGCTCGGTCCCAAGTGGTGCAGAATCGGATTCTCCACTGCTCATAAGTAAAAAGATTCCAAGCAATGATCCCAGCCTTGTCTTGTGAATAGCATCACTTGTCTGCTCTTATATTTTCTTGTGGTCTCCAGCTTTAGAGCTATAATATATGAACAGTTTGACACCAGAGGAAAAAAGCTGTTCTTAAACCACCGAAATATTTTTTTTTTCCTGTTTTTCAGGCTCCACAAACACAAACTACTCCTTTTGCCTTTTTGCTGCAGTTGGAGAAGAAAGTGAATTTGAAATATGCTCTTACGCAATGCTGGGGAAATGGTGAAATAGGCCAAAGATTTATTCTTCGTTCAAGATGAATTCTGTTTGTAACAGAGTGTAGTGTTCAGGAAAAGGACCTCCACCAAGTCTGAAAGAAACTATTTTCTGTTTCCGCAGAGTTTACATTATTTCCCACTGCTTACACTTTAGAATGTTTATTTTATGGGGACTGGGGGATTAAAAGAGTGTGAACTAAAAGGTAACATTTTCCACGATGGAGTTTTCTATATTGTCTTTGAACTGAAAATAAACATGTATGTAGAAAACCAACCAGCAAGCTTTCAGTGCCAGATAAGACTCGCTGACTGCTCTCTAGAGGTAGCTTTTCATGGTGGGGTTGTCAACCTGACACTGATTTCCTGGAAAATTGTGAATGCAACGAGAGCTTTATAAACATAACAAGGAAAAAATAACAGAGAAACATCAGGTCAGTTGTGAAATCTTCTGACTGCTGGAAAGTGGCAATATCCTTTGGAACAAAATACATTTTATATCCAGAACTACTCTTCAGTGCCAGGGAAGTTTACATCACTTACCTAGAAACTGATGGGTTTATGCTAGTTTCTTCCACAGATGAATGAATCTCAATGGCCATTAAGCTCTCACAGGCCCATAGGGCAAGAGAAGTGACCCTTAAAGGTCGGGTGTTTGGCAAATGTTTTTTCATTTTTCCAGCCCTTAAATTGTTCCTGACCCTCTCTTGTTTCCATTTTTTCCCTACAATAATATAAAATTACATAAAAGTTAAGACAAAACCAAGGATTCAGGAACAAACAAGCAGTGATTGTCCTCTAAGCAGTATCAGTAAAGTAGTCACCATAAATATCTTAAATGTCCCCCAGGCACATCCTGCAAAAGCCCTTGCCATGTTCTTGTACTGCACCCTCAGTGACCCCGCTTGTTAGCTGCTCTGCCCATAATGTATCTTTATGTGCAGTTTAATTTGTTCCAAAACACTGTTTAATAAGTAAAAAGCCTCCCCACGCAAAGACTGTCTGTCCTGAGAATAATTTTGCTTCATGTTTCTGTTTGTTTGTTTGTTCTTTGTGTTTTGTGGTACGCGGGCCTCTCACTGTTGTGGCCTCTCCCGTCACGGAGCGCAGGCTCAGCGGCCATGGCTCACGGGCCCAGCCGCTCCGCGGCATGTGGGATCTTCCCGGACCGGGGCACGAACCCGTGTCCCCTGCATCGGCAGGCGGACTCTCACCCACTGCGCCACCGGGGAAGCCCTGCTTCATGTTTCTGAAGTGTCACAGTCCCATTGTCATCCACCCCACCTCACCCCCGTCCCTGCCTTTTATTTGCGTGTATGCCTGTCCGAATACACAGTGAACTAGCATCTCCGATATATAAATCTATTTCAAGATTATGAGGGTTCACAGTCAATTCGTTCTCTATATAATGTGCCCAGTGAGCAGCCTTTCTCGCGAAATGATTTTTATTTAATTTTTTTTTCAATTCTTTTCATTTCATTTTTTGGCCGAGCAGCATGTGGAATCTTAGTTCCCCCACCAGAGATCTAACCTATGCCCCCTGCATTGGAAACACGGAGTCTTAACCACTGGACTGCCAGGGAAGTCCCCAAAGTGATATTTAAGCAGTTCCCTTCTGCTTGTTATTTTCCTCTGCCATTTAAAGTTTCATTTTCTATTTTTGAAAACGTTTTAGGGAAAAAAAAAAATCTTACAAACCTATGTTCCAAGGGCTTTAGGCCAGAGACTTCTTTCCTTACCTACTTTCACCAGGCAACTCACCAATTCATGAAAAAAAGGAGAGGAAGAAAAGAGCATCCTGAATACAGATGTGGGAGAGCTTCTCAACACTCACACCGAAGGACGTATAATCCAGGTGTCGCTGGGAACTCCACGGTTTTCCCATCATGTGGGCTCGTTTTAACTCCTAGATGTCATAACTCACGTTCCGATGGATTTGTTTTCTTTTCATGCACTAACCCTACTAGGATGCACTCCTGCTGAGTGATAAGCAGCCTCCACTGAGAAGAAAGGTCTTTGGCAGGTTAATTAATGGGCTTATGAACTCAGGATGACCGAGGCACTCACGGGCAGGAGAAGACGTTATTTTAGAAAAGAGCTAGTTACCTACCATCTCTTCTGAGGCCAAGGCATGAAAAAAAACAAAAAAATCACATAACCTTTGGCATGGTGGGTTTTAGACAGAAATCTTCCCGAGAAGGGTAGATCCTGATTTCTCTCTGCCTCTATAACTGCAATGTAAGAAACTCCTAACAGACCAGAAACGGTGAGGGCCACAGTGACCACCATGGCACACAGAGACGTATGGCCTTGCTCCCTCTCTGCTCAGGGTTCTGAAGTAACACCTGCAAGGGTCAAGACCCAGACCAGAAGGATCTTCTGAAAGCTGACAGAGGAACACACCATAGTGATGAACAAAAAGCAAGGGAGAGATGAATGGGGACTCAGGAAAGTAGCGGCAAGGCAATTAGCCAATCCATTCCTTAATATTCTTTTTATTTCTCTATTTCTAGGGTTATTCTCTTTGTTTTAACTGGAATGTGCTGACTCCATTAAAACAATACATCAGTGTTCTTCACAACAGATATTCAAAGAGAATCCTCCTGTCTAACATTACCCAGGGACTGTTTTTTAACATAATTTACACCTGCCGATAGACAAGATGGTGTATGAAGCTTACTTTATTTATTCCAAGAAAGTCCACCTACACATATTTGTCCATTGCTTTTGTATAAATGTGTATGTACAAGGGAGTAAAAATTAAGTAATAAGTGCACTTTTATAGCATTTGTTAAAAACCTGTAATCCATATCCACCGAAAAAGTTGAGCATTGTGGCAGAACAGTTGGTTACTAATCAGAGCTTCACTGTTTCCTTAGACTTTAATGCAGCCATGGATCGAGGGACCCCAAAAAACTCTTATAGCTACACTTTAAACAAGGGATAGTGCTGAAATCTAAGAGTCCATGAACTTGGATGGGGAAAAAAGTACATCTTTGTATTCACTAACCTCTAACTGTAATGTAACATTTCCTTCGATTATGAATGTCAGCAGCAAATCACAGCAATATTCACAGTACCTGTGTCTGTCGCGGTCGAAGTCACCGGCATTCTAATATTACAGTTTCTGCAGACAGTCACAGTAGCGATTATGCGCATCACAGTAGCACATCATCTAACAAGGCAGATGTGCCACTATCCTGTTTTTTCATGTGTCAAGAGCCACATATATTGCTGTAATCAAATTTGATAACTTTTTCAACATTTTAATAACTGCATTTCACTATTGTCCATTTGAAGATATTCTGAGGAGGGCTACACAGACTTCATCTGACTGATTAAGGGATCTATGGTACCAAAATGGTGATGACCGCCAGGGACTGTATGAAATTCTAACCTCCTAAATCCTGCAGCCTGTTGTGATGCTCTGGGATGTTAATACATCTGCATCTGTGCTCCAAGCCATCCCTAAGGGTCCCTGCTCCAGGGCTCCTCTATCTGAGATCCTTGTTCTGGGAGCAGCCCAGGTAGCACTTGTCACTGGAGCCCTCTGAAGCCTAACACAGACGAGATAGAAGAAGCTCTGGAAACTGTAGAGTGCTGTGTCAATGTAGAGCTTGCTTAGCAACCCCAATCCCTGGGCCAGCTCCTGAGCTCCCACCCCTGCCCTGCTTTGGGGTCAAACTTTCCCACATGGCTTTAGACGCTGCCCCTGGCAACCAAGGTCCTACCTGACCTGGTCTCCCCAAGGCTCACACAGAATCTCAGCTTGCATCCTAGTTCTGGGGACCACTGGCTCAGGGTAACCACAAATGCCATTCCCACAAAATTACAAGTTTTACTGTATGGTTTTCCTGATAAGGGATCTTACCATTGTTGAGTAACATTGTTTAATTCATTGACTAGTTCATTTATTCTACAAACCCCTATTGGGCAGCTACCACGTGTGAAGCAGAATGTCTTAAAAAGAAAAGGAATTCGACGTACAAGGTCCATGACTGAAGGGAACGTGTTGGGGCATTCCCCACTGTATCCCAAACCCACAGAGTAGTGGAATGGAAGGTAGTAGTTGATCAGTAAGTATTTTCTGAGCAAATTCATCCGTCCCCTCACTGAGCATGTGTCAGCCCACTTGCTGACACCAGTGACTGGTGTTGGAAGTGGGAGGCAGTCCTGTTGGTTGGGGACCCTGCTTTCTAACCTGTGGGGTTTGCACTAACTGCGCAGTGAGTGTCAGAACTGAATTGAATGGAGTTGTAAGATCCAGTTGGTGTCGGGAGTGTACACCAATGGAGGATTTCGTTAAGCAAAGGATTTTAGCTCATGTCGTGAAAAACTATTGAGATACATAAATACCAAAAGTTTCAGAAATCATGGGGCAGATTTCATGGCCTACATCATGTCCCTGGCAGATTGCCCACAGGCCCCCATGTCACACTTTGAGAACAACTCTTACTCAGTTTTAGATTGAGCTATTGGTCAATTCGAAGATCTGATTTAGTTTCAAGCCCTTAGCCATCAAGAGATAGGCAAGATTTCTGCTAGACCCCACAAACTTCCTGAGAGCAAGCCAGTGTCCGCAGATCTGGGCAGACACCGTTGGTCACTGGATATGAGGCACTAAATAGCTGTGTTCCTTCCTGAAAGGCCAGAGTCCCCCTACCTGGCAGCTGTCCGCGGGATGTTACCCACAGTTGCACCATGTTCTGAACTTGCATTAAAACAACCATAGATTCAGGGGATTGTCCAAAGAACCGTCCTTTTCTTTCTTTCTTTCTTTCTTTCTTTCTTTCTTTCTTTCTTTTTTTTCTTTCTTTCTTTCTTTGGCTGCATTGGTTCTTCATTGCTGTGTGCGTGCTTTCTCTAGTTGCAGCAATCAGGGGCTACTCTTTGTTGTGGTGCACGGGCTTCTCACTGCAGTGGCTTCTCTTGTTGCAGAGCATGGGCTCTAGGCACACGGGCTTCGGTAGTTGTGGCACGCAGGCCCAGTAGTTGTGGCGCACGGGCTTAGTTGCTCCGTGGCATGTGGGATCTTCCCGGACCAGGGCTTGAACCCATGTCCCCTGTGTTGGCAGGCGGATTCTCAACCACGGCACCACCAGGGAAGCCCCAGAGAATCATTCTTAATGATGACTCTGGGCCTTCCTTCAGGTCTCAGTAAGATGGTTGATTCTAGGACAAAAGATGAATGTCATGAACCAAGAAAGATGGCGAAAATACTTCATGAAAATGGAGTAGGACCATGTGGTTGAGCCGTCAACATGAGACAAAAAAGAATGAAATGCCCTGCTGTGCCATCCTCCTGTGATCTCAGCCTTATCAGTGTGGGTTGTCTTCCTAGTTAATCTAATGCTCTTTCTTTGTGCTGCTTAGGCTCTGGGGTAAGTATCCTCCTCAGGTCCAAAGTGCAGCCACCTAACCTAGCATTGCTTTCCTGAGTCCAAGACTACAATGAACACTTCATGGAGCAACACCGTGACTGGCCATGGCCACTGTATTCAAGGTAAGCTAAATCCATATAAGCTAGCTGAACATCGAAATCCTCTCTGGGCAGTTAATAGCAGACTCCCAAGCATTTGGGTGGGCTAGTTTTACTTATAGGTTTTAGAATCACGATTTGTTTGTTTAACTGGTCTCAGGACCATCTGCATTAGAATTACTTGCAATGCTTGTTAGAAATGTAGCTTCCCGGGCTCCCCTGGTGGCGCAGTGGTTGAGAGTCCGCCTGCCGATGCAGGGGACACAGGTTCGTGCCCCGGTCCGGGAAGATCCCACATACCGCGGAGCGGCTGGGCCCGTGAGCCGTGGCCACTGAGCCTGCGCGTCTGGAGCCTGTGCTCCGCCACGGGAGAGGCCACAACAGTGAGAGGCCCGCGTACTGCAAAAAATAAAGGAAAAAATGTAGCTTCCCACCTTCACTTAGACCTAGTATATTCAACTCTCTAGAAATGATCCTGGGAATCAGTATTTTAAACAATTCACTAAATTATCCTCCTGCACCCTCAATTTAAAAATTAACCCAAACTCCACTTTTGTATCACCACTGTGCCTAGCACGATGCTTCACACTTAGAAGGTGCTATGCAAAGACTTGTTGAAAGCCAGAGTACACATTTCTAGCAGTCCGTCTCCTGGCCCGTGGCAGCCCTACCCAAATGTTATGCACCATCCTTACGGCACTCTCAATTCCCGATACCCCTTCAGAGCCAAGGAATTAAGTTTGGTTTTTTTCATAGCATCTCTCTCCTCCCTTCCTCAGCTGTGGCTTCTCCAGGCTCCCAAGCACCCCCCGCCCCAAGCTGAATCCTTAAACCATCTGAGGAACCACAGACCTCCTAGGAAGATTCTGTGAACAACGAAGAGATATATGAGGCCAGCCAAGTTCAGGATCTCTCATCCTAGACTTGTGTCTAATAATCCAGCATGGGTTGAGTGCCTACCCAGGCAAGGCCTCACACTCGGCTCTGTGGATTAACGAGGATGATCAAGGTCGGGGAGGGGTGCTGGCAAAATGGTCCCAGAAGCCACGGGGAGGATCCTGGAGGCAGTGGGGGATGGCTTTCCACCCGCCTACCAGAGGGAGTTTATACCCATGCTTTTGAGTTTTTCATAAACTCACACTCCGTGGCAAGGCTTCCCTTCTCTTTAGCACCCTAGGTTTGTATTTAAGTCTCCTGAAATGCTTTAAAAAATCCAACCTTTCAGATACGTTGTCAGTCATATTTCATCCCACGATTAGAATGAGACTCAAGGCAGGTTTGTTCTGAAAACAGCCCTTGTCTCCTCTGTCTTGGCAGGGCAGAGCTCAGAGGAGGGCGATGGAATTGCCCAGACTGAGTCTGAGGTTAGAGTGTTTATGTAACAAATCCGCTAAACTTAAATATTTCTCGTGGTGTGGTCAGGGCCGCAAACCTTTGCCCGGGCTCACCACGGTGAATGTCATCTGTTTACTCAAGCCTGTGTGGGCATCTCTGTTTATGTGAAAGGACCCTGCTAGCTTAAAGCCGGTTAGTATGTTCAGTCATAGATCATGATGCTCACGTATTTTACAGTAAGGATTTTGCAAAGACAATTTTTCAAAGTAATCAGACTGGTTAACAATTGTGTGTGCACTGAGCAGACATATTGAATGAATGTTCGCTTGGCAAAGTCTTACAATTAAGGAATTTTTCTTCCCCAGATAATTACATGAGCCCTGATAGTGTTCCTCCAAGCCAGCCTACCGATTTACCTTCCCCCTTGATAGAGACAACGGGTACCAGACAAACAGCTGAGACAGACACCCCGAAGGGACTGGAAAGGCTCTGCTGGGGCCAGAACTAGGCAACTATATGAGAAGTGATGCTTTCCAACTTCATCACGGAGCTGGGAGCCAAAGGATGCTTCAGGGGCCAGGGGAAAAGATGCTGAATAACACCCCAACTTCCTTCCAAGCCATTTTCTACTGTGGCTTCATTACTGAGTTTGAACTGTGAATTCCCAGAATATCAGACATCCCCAAACTCAAATGGGAGGACAGAAAGGCATTCCAAAGCGAAATGTGAATTATTTTTAAATTATTCATGCCACCTCGATAGCCATTAGAACAGATAATTGAACTAACTGTAAATACGTATAAACAGAAGTGACAGAAACAGAAACGTCCACAACAAACTACAGACGAACAGAAAAATGCACTTAAGTGCTAAATGATTAGGGAGGAGGGAAGCCAGGGGAGGTGGGAGGCCATAGTTGTAGAGTGATGAGGGATTTGGGACTCACCTGGCAACAGCCAGCGAGACGGGAGCTGGCTTGAAGAGGGGGAGGGCTGAGCCTTGGCGGAGAGGGAGGGGGAGTGGTGAGGACGGAGGAGGGAAAATAAGATGAATCTATGGTGGGTTCTGGTTTCTGACAAATCTGAGCTCAGAGAGGCAAAAGTGACAGATGCAGCCCCGGCCAACATGAAAAAAAAAGAAAGTACACACTGTATGAGATATTTGAGGTCCTCCTGGAACCTCAGGACACAGCGCATGGAAATAGCATTCCATCTGCAGCCTTCCACCCCAAGACTGGCCCCCTTCTCTGCAGAGTGAGCTAGGGGTAAAAATGCTCTTAGAAGCAGCACTCTCCTCCAGAGAGTAGCAATTGATTTGGGAGCAAGAAGGTGTTACCCGGCAAATGGTTTGGGGCTCCCCTATTTTAAAAAATTCAGAGGGTTTGGGAATTCCCTGGCCATCCAGTGGTTAGGACTCCATGCGTTCACCGCCGAGGGCGCGGGTTCAATCCCTGGTTGGGGCACTAACATCCCACAAGCTGTGCAGCATGGCCAAAAATAAATAAATAATTTAAAATTTTTTTTTAAAGTTTATAGAAGCTGGTTTGTAGACGTGGTGACTCAAAACACTTAAAAAAGATTCAGAGGGTTCAAAGCAGCTACTGAGAACACACAGGTTTTAAGGGTAAAAAAATGTGATGCTGTCCCCCCCCAAAAGGCTCCTGTTCACCACCACGGTGTGTTCCAGTGCAAACACAGGAAGGTAAATGATAGAGAAATTGCATTCAAACCCTAACAACGAAGTCGGCAAGCAACCTGAGAATGAAAGCCCCGAATTAGCTGGCGGTATTGATCGTTCCTAAAGGAGAAATCAAGCATGAAAAATTCAGTTCCTAGCAGATTTTGAAGCAGGAGCAGAGATTTGAGCAAATGTCCCTCATCCATGCTGACGGTTGCTGGCAGGTCCCAGACTTGAGCCACATCAACTGTCCCGTGAGGACTGAGGGTGAAAGAGACCAGCCTTGTGGGGAGGATGAGAAACAGTCTAGATGAAGACTCACAGCCACCTGGATAACAACAGACATAGGAAATAAGTGAGTAAAGGCCACGGTCTATCCAGTTAAGTGCCAGAGAGGCTGTCTCCAATGTGTTTAAGAAGACAGTAACTTTACCACGGAGCTTGTGCCCTGGCTCACACGGCCACCAACCTCCCCACACCAGGGCTTTCCCCTCAGTGTGACCAAAGCGGGCAAGTGTTGTCCTAGGAGGCAGAGCTCTCTCTACACCCTGTGACCAGAGCTCCCACACTGAGGATGGAAGCGTATGGCAAACCTACCAGTCCTGCACAGACTGCAAAGAGACATCACGGGCACTGACTCTGGTCCTAGACCTGAGTTGTGGGATCAAAACAGAGAAATTAATGGCGAAATTGGTAATATTTCCACCCATATATTTTTAGGATAGTCGTGTTTAAAATTTTGTGGTCTTGGGACTTCCCTGGTGGTGCAGTGATTAAGAATCTGCCTGCCAATGCAGGGGACACGGGTTCGAGCCCTGGTCTGGGAAGATCCCGCATGGCGTGGAGCAACTAAGCCCATGCACCACAACTACTGAGCCTGTGCTCTAGAGCCTGAGAGCCACAACTACTGAGCCTGAGTACCACAACTACTGAGCCCAAACGCCTAGAGCCTGTGCTCTGCAACAAGAGAAGCCACCGCAATGAGAAGTCCGTGCACTGCAACAAAGAGTATCCCCCGCTCTCCGCAATTAGAGAAAGCCCGCGCACAGCAATGAAGACCCAACAGCCAAAAATAAATAGATAAATTTATTTTTTTTTTAAATCGGGGGCTTCCCTGGTGGCGCAGTGGTTGAGAGTCTGCCTGCCGATGCAGGGGACACGGGTTCGTGCCCCGGTCCGGGAAGATCCCACATGCCGCGGAGTGGCTGAGCCTGCGCGTCCAGAGCCTGTGCTCCGCAACAGGAGAGGCCACGACAGTGAGAGGCCCGCGTACCGCAACAACAACAAACAACAAAATTCTGTGGTTTTACAGAATTGTCTCTGAATCACTGTACCTAGAGATGAAT